CAGGTATGGCCAAAGCTCTAAGGTCAGGGACCTGGGAGAAGGTCACCAATGGTCAAAGTTAGCCCTGAAGAGCTCTGAAGTGGCAGTGTACGTAGCCCTGGGTGTGGGGCCGCATCCACTGATGTGCACAGATGACTGCGTGACACATACAGTGACAATACAGCACATATGCCTGGGGGCATCCTATTGAAAAATGAAGTTCAAAGGTTTGGCTATGTGGGAGTTTAAATTATGTGCAGCCATCTGTGACCTTGAGGTGGACATCACCTGCTTAAGGATGGCAGAGCAAGGTCGAAGGGGCCTGGGGACTGTATAGCCACTTTGGCCTTCTTCTTCCTTTTTTAGTTTTACAAGGAGAAACATCTATCTTATTTAAGCTTCTAACACTAGAGTCAGTGAAGTAGGGCCCATAGGCCAAATCTGGCCTACCACCTGTTTTTGTAAATAAAGTTTTATTGGAACACAGCCATGCTCCACTCATTTGTCTATATATTGTCTATGGCTGCTTTTATGCTACAATGACACTGTTAGGTCATTGCAATAGAGATTGTATGGCCCCCAAAGCCTAAAATATTTACTATCTGGCCCTTTACAGAAAAAGTTTGCCAACCTCTGCTGTAACATTTTGGGTTTTCTTGCCAGGCAACTGAATCAAATCTTAATTGATCTAGCACTTATAAATACCTGACATTTTATTATGTATATTCAAATATGTATTTATATTTGTTATATATTTACAATATAAAACCCTATGAAGCACATGACACACATGGGGTTGCCAGGAGTCAGAATTGACTCCATGGCAACTGTTTTTTTTTACATATTTATATATAAAACCAGTCCAGTTGGTATCAGGTCAACTCTGACACACAGTGACCCCATATGTGCAGAATATAACTGCTCCATAGGGTTTTCAAGGCTGTGACCTTTCAGAAGTAGACTGCCAGGCCTTTCTTCCGAGGTGCCTCTGGGTGGGTTTGAACTGCCAGCCTTTTGGTTAGTAGCCAGTGCTTACCATTTACGCCACCCATTTTTATATACAGTATTATATTTATGATTTATTTGTATATATTATTATTTTTTTACAGATTTATTTATCTATATTATGCATTGTCTGCCCCCCCTGAATGGACCGTCTGCTTCTTGAGGGTGGGACTGTTTTGTTCACTGCTGCACCTAGAAGAGTGCCTGCCATATCACAGACTCTCAATAAATCTTTATTAGATGAACGGATTCACCCAATCCATGCTTCCTCCCTTCCTTCATCATGTATTTCTGGAGTGTCTGCTCAGTGCCAGGCCCCGTGCCAAGCATGCATGTTTCAGCTGTGATGAAGATGCAGCCCTGATCTCGGGACGCAAAGTACTAAGAATAAGAAAGGGAGTTTTGATACTTTCAGAAGCGTTCTTACTTAATGTTCACAAAAACCCTTCAAGGTTGGTATTATTATACAGCTGAGGGACAAAGGCTCAGAGAGGTCAAGAAACCCCCAGACTCCCCCGCCAGCAGGAGGTGAGTGGGATTTGCACCCAGGCCTGTACGGCACTGGCCCGCATCTGCCCTCGGCTGTGGGGTACCTTGTGCAGCCGCCTTCTCTCGCGGTACCGCTTGCCGACATCCTCCATGTCCTCCAAGGTCATGGGCCGTGCTTCCTTCTTCAAGTTGGTCTTGGGCACAGTCAGCAGGTCCATCTTGGCAGGCTGTGGGGCTGGGCTTACCTTCTGCTTCTTGAGCGGACTCTTCGGGATGATGCTGCCTCTGGCTGACCGGAGACCTGGGGGTGGAGGGGAGAGACAAAGGAAGGCAGGACTAAGGGGGGTGCCCAGCCTGGGGTCAGCCAAGCGCTTAACCACTGTTAGTCAAGCAGGGTCGGGCTTTCCCTCTCCCTCTCCAGAGCTGGTTCACCTTCCTGGATGTCCAGTCAGTGTCTACTCTAAGACACACCTGAGCGTGCCCCTTCTTCCCACGTCCACCATGGCCTCCCTAACCCAGGCCACCTGCTCTCACCTGCTGCCATCCTCCTCCTCTACGATCCTGTTTCCACCAGACGGCAATAGGAGCTTAACAACATGGACGTCGGAACATCTCATTTCTCTGCTTAAACCTCGCCAGTGGCTTCCCATGGCACTCAGACTAACCCCCAAAGTCCTTCTCTTGGTTCTACAGGGCCTGCAGGATCTGACTTCACCTCCCACCTGACCCCATCTCCTGCCGCGTACCCCTCACTCACTCACCCCACCCCAGCCATCGAGACTCTCTTCTGTCCTTGGAGACCTCCCCACCTCGGTGCCTCTACCTTCGCAGCTCCAGTTGCCTAGAACGCCCTTCACCCTACCATCCCAGGACTGGCTCCTCCTCACCCGGTGTCGGCACCAGCGTCTGCTTCTCAGAGAGGCCTTCCCTGTCTCAGTCAAGCGGAAACCCGATCCTGGCCCTGCCACCTTCTAGTTTTGAGATTCTGGACAACTGGCTCAACCTCTCTGAACTTTAGCGTCCTCCTTGGTAAAGCGTGAAGAGCAACCCTGGTCTTGAGGGACTTGGAAGAGTAAACAGAGAGCTGATAAACCTGTTGCCATCGAGTCGATTTCGACTCATAGCGACCATGTAGAACAGAGTAGAACTGCCCCATAGGATTTCCAAGGCTGTAATCTTTACAGAAGCTGACTACCACATCTTCCTCCCAAAGAGTGGCTCATGGGTTCAAACTACCCCCCTTCTGGTTAGCAGCCAAGGGCTTAACCACTGTGCCACCAGGGCTCCTAACAGAGATAATGCTGCAGGTAAATAATGAGATAACTCGTCCAGTAGTCTGGGAGGGGTGTGGGAGGGTAAAAGGAGATGATGCTGCAGGCCCACAGAGGGTGCCCCTACATGGTCCCGCCTCCTGTCTTTAGAGCTGCTGCACTCTGCCTGACGTTGCCTCTTTAGGCACAGGACCAGTAACCAGTTGCTGTGCAGTCGACTCCAACTCATGGTGACCCCATGGGTGTCAGAGTAGAACTGTGCTCCATAGGGTTTCCTAGGGCTGATTTTTTAGAAGTAGATCGCCAGGGCTTTCTTCCGAGGCACTTCTGGATGGATTTGGACTTCCAACCTTTCAGTTAGCAGCTGAGCGAGGTAACTGCACCACCCAGGGACTCTTCAGTACACTCTAAATATAGGCTAATTCTGGTTTCTGAATAAGAAGTTTCAGTTAACCTTTGGTCAGTAACTCTCAGATTAATAAGAAGGCCTTGGACCCACGTACAAACGAAAGTCTCTAGAAAGGCTTGCTAAGTTTTGGTCAGTTCCCACCTATCTGGTGGGCTCTGGTGGGTCAAGTCCACCCTTTGAGAATCCTCCTGAAAGGACGAGGGCCCCTTAGGTGCTCCTTAGGTGACCTCTAGGCCTGGAAATTCCAGAGGCTTGGCTACCCTACAGTTCACCAAAGCTGAAGAACATCCTTAGGAAGTGAGCATTGGGAGGAGGGTTCAATCCGCCTCATCACGCTCCCAGGGCTGGGTACATACTCTCCCTTGTGGCTTGCTGGCTTCTCCCCATCTCAGCCATGGACCACTGCTTGTAGGTGCTGGCCAGGACATTCATCGTGATGGTGTTGAACTTCCCCAGAGAGCTGAGGTAGATCACTATGTCCTCCAGCTCCTGGCTATTCAAAGGCACTCCCACCTGAGGACAGAGGAGAAGTCCCGAATGTTGAATGTCCACAGCCTCAAATGCAAATGCCCTGGCAGCCCAGACCCTCCCACCCTTCTAGAATCATCCTCAGCCGCTCCCACCTCACACCCAGTGTCCCTGCCACAGAGCGCAGAGCCCCTTCCATTTCCTGAACACACCCTGCAATTTTCCACCTTCCACCTTTGCTCAGGAGTTCCCTTGCTGCCAAAAAAGCTCCTATCCCTCCTTCAAAGCCCAGTCTAGATAGGCCTCCATCTTTATAGAGTCAACTTACTTCTTCCTCTGGGATCCCACCCCACTTTGTCCCTATCTCAACGACAGCATTTACCATGCCGAATGTGAATATGGATTTCACGTGTCTATCATCCATGTCCATGAGGAACAGATAAACCTCTCTTAACTGAAGGAAAAAAGGATCAGAAGGAATCTTTTAAGAGGTATTCTTTTAAGGATGACAAGCAACTTTTGAGTAGAATGCTTGCCAGCCATATTGAATATTAAAGAGAAAAAAAAGTTTTAAAGGAAATATAATTTAGTTCTTCATTTTCTTCAAATAGCAGTCACAGCTCACTGTACTTGCCTTAAAGAAAATCAGAACTCTAATGGTGCTAATGGATTTAATATTTTATTTTTTTTGGTTAGGATGATTAAACCAAAAAATCCAAACCAAACCCCTCGCCGTTGAGTCGATTCCGACTCAGAGCTACCCTATAAGACAGAGTAGAACTGCCTCATAGGGCTTCCAAGGCTGTAATCTTTACAAAAGCCAATTGTCATATCTTTCTCCCTAGAAGCAGCTGGTGGGTTCAAAGCACTGACCTTTCAGTTAGCAGCCACTTAACCACTGCACCACCAGGACTCCTTGGGATGACTAAAGATTCTTTCTCTTTTTTGGAGTCCCTGGATGGCACAAACCATCAAGCACTAGGCTTCTAACCAAAAGATTGGTGGCTTAAGTCCACCCAGAGGCACCTTGGAAGAAAGGCCTGGTGATCTACTTCTGAAAAATCAGCCATCGAAGTCCCTATGGAGCGTAGTTCTACTGTGACACACATGGAGTCACCATGAGTCAGAATCAACTCAAAGACAACTGTTCTTTTTTTTTATATTTTTGTTTTTAAATCTTCAAAATGTTCAGACAATTATATGTTATAAAATAATAGGGTGGAAACTGGTGATGATTTAAAACCATAAAAGATGCAATAACCTGCTTCCTAAAGATTTTTTTAAAGATGTCTTGGTATTCAATATAAATTAAAGCTTAATTCATCTAGACCAGAGGTCGACAAACTTTTTTTTTGTAAAGGGCCAGAAAGTAAATATTTCAGACTTTGAGGGCCATATGGTTGTTGTCACAACTACTCAACTCTGCCTCCTGGTGCAAAAGCAGCCATAGACAATATGTAAGCAAATGGGCATGGCTGTGTTCCAATAAAACTTTATTTACAGAAACAGGAGGCAGGCTGGATTTGACTCCTGGGTCAGAGTTTGCAGACCCCTGCTAGACCAACAGAGCTCTCAGCAATGATGGAAATGTTGTACATCTGCATGGTCCAATAGAGTATTCATAGCCACATGTGACTACTGAGCACTTGAAACGTGGCTAGTGTGACTGAGGAGTTGGTTTTACTTTTATATATTTATAATTAATTTAAATGTCTAAATAGCCACTGAACGTGTGGTCCATTGACGAGTGCCATTGGCATCACCCAGGACAGAAACTTGTTAGAATGTAGCATCTTGGGTTTCACACAGGCCTACTGAATCAGAAGCTGCATTTTAACAAGATCCCTATGTGAGTTATATATATATCGGACAGTTGGAGAAAGTTCTAGAAGTAGAATTGAAGGCCTAGTTCTGGGGTCTGATGGGCAAGAGACAGTGATTCCCCAGGCAGATGGTCATGAGGTCTGCTCCACAGACTCTCCATTCAGGGCAGACTGGTGCAGGGTGGTGTCAGGGGTCCAATTTGGCCACAGGACAAGCCACATTTTACAGTATGGCTTTACAAGTAATCAGGAGTGCAGGGACATCTACCCCCTCAGTCCCAGCAGGGAGGACCAAGCATCACTTACTGCCTTCAGAGCCACAATGAACTCCTCCCGGGTGATCCTCTGGTTATCACTCTGGTCCATCTTGTTAAACATCTCCAGGATCTTGATCTTTCGGTTGCGCAGGTGGGTGTACATGGTAGACAAGGCAGAGGGTTTGGGCAGGTGAAGCAGGGGCACCGATTTGCGCCAAGCCCGGGAGGCTTTCTTCTGAAAGAAACAGACAGGGTGGGGCAGAGAGGGGAGAGTTGAGGGGAGACAGGCCAATGGAGTGCAACCCCCAGAGCCAGAGAGAGATGAGAGAAGGGCTGAGCAACTCTGAGCAGACAGGGAGATGGAACACAAAGAGCCTTGGAATCAGGCTGGGAGACTTCGCTTCTCTGGGCCTGTTTTCTTATCTGAAATTAGAGGCTTGGACAACATGAGAACTAAAATGTCCTTCTCATCTACATCTCTACTGTTGGACCAGACTTTTGCCGTCAGTATCCATAATTCCACTGGTCTCCTCATGCACCAAGACACCTACCCTTGCCTGCAGCCAGATGGGACTCCCCACTTCTCCTGCCGCCCAGCCTTTGCTCATGCTGGGTCGCCTGCCTAGAATACCTTTCCTTCTTCTCTGCCTATCCAACTCCCACTCCTCCTTCAACTCCAGGTTGAAGGGAATATTTCGTAATTATAATTCTCCCTTACCTTGGTGCAGCACTTGATACTTTACGAAGTGCCTTCCTGTTCCCTAGCCGTGAAGGTTAATTTTGTGTCAATTTGGCTAGGCTATGGTTCCCAGTGGTTTGGCGACACACTAGTTGCTGTTCCATAATGTAATCTAATGTAACAGAATCAATCAATCAGTTGAAAGGGGAGTTTCCTTGCTTTGTGTTCTGCTCTAGACTATAAATAGACATTTTGGCAAAACTCTCTCTCTTCCCTCTGCACTCTTTCTATCACCTGACCTACGAATCTTGGAATGCAAGCCCGCAGGAGTCTCCAGTTTGCTGCCTGACCTATGGATTTTGAATTTGCCAGCCCCCCATTATCCCATTAGCCTGCAGGATTCTCCAGCCTGTCACCTGACTATGGGATTAAACCTAAGTAATCCGACTCCTTCTCCCAGCTTCACCTGAGTTGGGAGACGTTTCAAGTGTTTCCAAGGAAATGTCACAGAAATGCAAGGAGTTGGAAGATGAGGGTTTTGATATCAACTTTGGCATTTACTATCTCTGGGTTTACGCAAATTGTTAGTCTCACTGATCTATTTCCACATTTATGATTGCACTTGTGATCCTCACAATAGCCCTGTGAGCTTGGTATATACAAGCCCTCGGCAAATGTGTCAATGAACAAATGAATGAACAGTGAGTATTAAGAAATGCCCCAAAAGATGGAATGCCATGAATTATCCCTCCTCGGGTGGTTTTAAGATATGTCCACAAGTTCTTCACCTCTCATCCCTTCTAAGATGGCGCCTAATTCCCCTGCCCTTGAGTGTGGGCATTACTGAGTGACTTGCTTCTAATGAATAGAATGTGGTAGAAGTGACAGTGTGAGACTAGGTCGTAAAAGGGCACTGAAGCCTCCTCCTTGATTTCTCTCTTCCATCATCCACTCTGCGGGTAGCCACCACCAAACAGTCCTATGGAGAGACCATGTGGAAGGAACTGAGGCCTTCTGCCAACAGCCATGGGAGTGTCCCATCTTGGAAGCAGATCCTCCTCCAGTCAAGCCTTCACATGACTGCGACCCTGGACAACATTTTTTTTTTTTTTAATTTTTTTAAATTGTACTTTAGATGAAGGTTTACAGAACAAATAGTTTCTCATTAAACAGTCAGTACACATATTGTTTTATGACCTGGACAACATCTTGACTGCAACCATGTCATGACAGACTCTGAACCAGAACCACCCAGCTAAGCTTGACTCTGAGAAACAGTGATATAATAAATACCTGTTGCTTTAAATCATTTAGAGCTATTTGTTATGCAGCAATACATAATGAATACACTTTCTTCTGGACCTCTGTTCCTCTGAGAAACATGGTGAACCATCCCCACCCTGCCTTACCCAAGGGCATGAAATGACAACATGCCCCTAAAACCCTCAGGGTCTTCATCTGGCACATAGGGCTACTCACCTTGGTGACCTGAGTAGCAGCCAAGCGGGCCACCGACAGGGTCTCATGCTCCTTGTGGATACTGTGTAAGACCTTGGCCTCTGAAGGTGTGCAGATGGGCTTGTTCTTCAGCCACCTCTCCACATTGCCAAATGACTCCAACTCCTTCCGAAGCTTCAACCTCTGGCTCAGCCAGGTCTTGGTGTCCAATGGCTGCTCTTGTATATCTCCGGCTTCTGGGGCCTTGAATCTGTGGATGGGCTCCGGGGGAGCCTGGGCCTGTGGCTTGGGGTTGATGGGCAGCTGCTTCTCCACGCGAGGCACGATGATGACCCGGCGTCGGCTTTGTGGCAGGTGGAAGTCCTCCTGCTTGAACTGCTTAAAGCAGTGGGCAATGACCAACTCAGGATTGAAGGAGTGAGCCTTGCTGGAGCTTTCACTCTCTGCCGAGGTCTTAGACTGGCAAAGCCCTTGGGGAAAGAGGGTTAAAAGATGAGTTCCTTTCAGGAAAAGGGCAAAAAGGAGACAGGAAGGAAAAATGCTTTAGTACCAGGCTGGGTATCAGGACACTCGGGTTCCATGCCTGGTTTTATCATTACTTCATTATAATGATGAAGCTACTGTAATTACATCTAAAGTTTCCAGGCACTCCCAGTGGTAGGCACTATGCTTATACGCTTTCTCTTATTTAATCTTCTCAGATTCTACCCTTACTCCACCCCAATCCCCAATGCTGTTTATTGGCAACCAGAAGGATCTTTTTAAAATGCCATTCTGACCTTATCTATCCTCCGAGGCAGTAGAGTGCCAGAATGCTTGAGTCTGAGTCTTGGTTCTGTCTGTGAGACCTAGGGCAAATCACTTAACCTCTCTGTGCCTCAATTTCTTAATCTTTAAAATGGGGATAATGACAGTACCTACCTAAGAGGGTGGTTGCGATGGTTAGAATCCATCAATTTGTTAGAGTTGCTTTGTGCATAGTAAGTGCTCCATTGTTATTTTATATACCCACCCTTCACCCGTTTTGAAATCCTTCTATCGCTTTCCATTGTTGTTGTTGTTAGGTGCCACCAAGTCAGTTCCGACTCATAGCAATCCTATAGAACACAGTAGAACTGCTCCATAGGGTTTCCAAGGAGCGGCTGGTGGATTTCAATTGTCAACCTTCTGGTTAGCAGCTGAGCTCTTAACCACTAGGCCACCAGGGCTCCACTGACTTTCCATAGGCCTCAAAATAAGGCTTGAACAGTGATTATTAAGTCCCGTGACCCTCCCCTGCCAACATTTCCCAACTTATCACTTACTTCCTATGTCTCAGATACTTTGAGTATCTCTCTTCCTGGAATGCTCCAAGCTCCTTCCCACCTAAGGGTTTGGCACATGCTTGCCCCTCTGCCAGGAATGCCCCCTTCCTCATCCACAGCCTCTTTCCTCCTCCTCATCCTCTAGGTCTCAGACCAAATGTTACCTCTCCAACTCCCAGTCTCTATTATATCCTCATGTTATCACCATGTATCACAGTCTGTACCTTTCCTTCATACCACTTATCACAACTGTGTATACCAAGGGTTGCAAACTGGTGGCCCTCACGTTGACTGAAGCTTAGGCTTCTGTTTTGTTTGACAATGGTTATGGATTGAATCGTGTCCCCCACAAAATATGTGTTGTAAATCCTAACCCCTACTTGTGGTTATAATCCCATTTGGAAATGGGCTTTCTTTGTTATATTAATGAGGTAGTATTAGTGTAGGGTATGTCTACACTAATACGATTCTCCCGGCAGATTTTGCTTCTGTTTGCACACCTCCAGTGATGGGGAGCTCTCTACTTAACATTGTGGACACCTAATTCTGACTGTTAGAAAATAACTTCTTTATATTGGGGCAGAATTTATTCCCCTGGAATTTTTACCCCTTGGTCCTAATCCTCCCCACTGATGCCCCAGAAAACACATTTGTTCCCTCTTCTCTGTGAAAGCCCTTCAGGATTCCAAGGACAACTCTACTCACTCTTTGTTGAAACTCTCCCATCTCTTGGCTCTTGATTTAAATCCCTTCCTAAAGTCCACCCTACCTCTATGGCCACTTGTTCTTGGGCCCCTCTTTCCTACCCACCCCTTAAAAGTTGGTGTTCTCTTGGCTTACATCTCTCTTCTTTTTTCAAATAATCTCTTCCACACCCACGTTTCTATAACCCTCTATATGCTGAGGACACCCATACCAATATTTCTGATTTGGAATTAGCTACAATTTTTTTTACATCCAGTTGCTCTTAAAACATCTCCACTTGGATGGCCCGCAAGGATCTCAAATTCTGCAAATCTCAGACTGAACTTGTCTTCATGCCCCTGTCCCCCACCTAATGTGGTCCTCCCTGTAGATTCCTTATCTTGGTGGAAGGCACCTCCATCTACCAACTTGAGTATCATCTCTGATTGCTCCTCTCATGTTCCTCATTCAATCAACCTCCAAGTTCCTGCAGTCCTCGTCTCTCTCCCCACCTAACATCTTTGGCCTGGGCATTTAGGACAACCCCAGACCTCATCTCCCGACTTCCAGGTCTGAGTCTGCCTATTCAGTCTCCACATTTGCTGACCGCGTCCAATCCAATCCTGTCACTTCCCGTGGCTTCCCCCTCTCCTGGCTTACAAGACCTTGCATGATCTGGTCCCTTCTGACCTCTCCAATCTTATCTCCAGTCAAACTGCAAGGAGTTTCCTGAAGACGCCATGCCACCAGGCCTCTGTGCATGCTGTTTCCTTGACCTGGAATGCCTTTCCTTCCTCTTTTGGCTTGGAGAACTCTTTTTTTCTTTTAAGCTCCAGGAGCTTGGATGACCTGTTCCTCCCCATCCCCTACTCTTGGTGGACCTCTTACTACCTGGATCACCCCTGGACCCAGCACCCACCCCTTCCTATTCTGTAATTATCCGTTTATTTCTCTTCCTTTCACCTCCAAAGCTGTGGTGTTCTGCTGACTGCTTGGCCCACAGCAGGTTTTTGACAAACGTTGGAGAACTGAAGCTCTTCTCCATGCCTCCTCTCCAGGACTTAACACACTAACGTCCAGTGGAAACATAGGGCTAGCCAGAGGGCCTGGCTACCTTTTCTGGACACACTTTGGTTTCACTCCTCCAGTCCGGGCATGGAAATCTCAGAAATGAGCATGACCTGCCCTAGCCCCCACCCCCCACAACCTCTCCCCAAGAGAAGGGGACGGCACAATGAGTTATCCGCCCGTCCTTGCCCTCACCGCACTTTCACGAGTCCGCATGGGGCTGAGGGCTTCCTGGAGGAGCCTCTGCTCCGCGGGAGCTTACCGATCAGGGCCATGAGCAGCGCCTCGTACGCTTCTAGAGAATGGTCCATGGTCGCGGCGCTGGCAGAAGGTGCTATATGAGTGTGTGCGCGTGTGTGTATGCGTTGTGTGTATGTCTGTGTGTGTGCTTGCTTGCGCAGGGGTGCTGGGGCACTAGAAAACTCTAACTACAAATTTTGCGGATGGCACAGTGGCGCAGCGTGAACTAGCATTCTGATTGCCATGACAACGGACTCGACCGTGCTCATTGGCTGAGCGCCGCGCGCGGAGTGGACGTTCCCGGCGGGGGCGGGGTCGGCAGATTCGGTTTCCTTTAGCCCCATCCTGGGAGATGTCACCAGGATATCCTGGCTAGGCTTCGTGAAAGATGGGATTTCTTAGTTTGGTCCAGCGGCCCCTGAATCTGGAGTAATAAATCCCTGGCTTTTCCCGTTAACAGTAGGATCTTTGGCAGGTCTCCACATCACATCTTTAGGCCTGTTCTCCCATCCAGATAGGTCCTGCCTTCTTCAGAGGGGTATGGGAACCCAAGTGAGTCGTGGCCAAACAGATGATAGGGTGCCATGGTTTGGAATTATAGAACCTGAGAATCGGAGTATTAATAATAAAGGACTGAAATGTCCATCTACTGATGGCTGGGTAAACAAAATGTGGCACATCCATACAATGGAAATTATTTAGCTATAAAGGAATGAAGTTCTGATGCATGCTACAATGAGGAACCTTGAAAATATTATGCTAAGTAAAAGAAGCCACATGTGATAAGATTCCATTTATATGAGATGTCTGGAAGATTAGCGGTTGCCGCGGGCTGGGGGAGAAGGGAATAGGGAGGGACTACTAATGGATACTTGGTTTATTTTTGTACTGATGGAAATGTTCTCGATTAGGTAGTCATTATGGTGCACAGCATTGTGACTGTATTAAAAATTGCTGAATTGCACATTTAGAAATGGTTAAAATAGTGTATTTTATGTTATATGGATTTTCTCTCAAAAAAAGTGAAACAAAAGTGAAACAAAAACACTGGAGCCCTTACTTTACACAAGTTGCCACCTTTACTAAAATGCATTATCTTCAGTGACCCTCTCAACGATCTGAGGCAATCCCTCAGACTGCCCCCATTTTAGATAATGGGTCACACTGACGTATAACTCTTGTAAGCCAGGTACCATTTTAAACACTTTAGAAGTATTAACTCAGTAATCACAATAACCCTGTAAGGTAGGCATCACTATTCCATTTTAAAGAGATGAGGAAAACAGGTACTGAGGTCAGGCAACCTCATCTGCAGGTAAGGGAAAAAGCCAGGACTGGAACCTGAGCAACCTGGCTCTGGTCTGAGCTCACCTCTCACATCCACACAGGGAACCTCCTGATGGAGACGCTGGCAGAAGGGGATTTGACAGCAAGCCCTGCCATCCAGCCACACCTGATGTCCTAAACTTAGTGAGCTTGCCCTGCCCCTCCAGTTCGCGGTTGTGACTCAGGATTTCAGATGCCCCACTATACTTTATTAGTTAATTAATTTTATTGTTTAGAACATACACAGCACAACATACACCAATTAACCATTCCTACCCGTACAATTCAGTGACATTGATTACATTCTTCAAGTTGTGCCACCATTCTCACCCTCTGAGTTGTTCCTCCATTAACATAAACTCACCGTTCCCTAAGGTTCCTAATCTTCCAAGTTGCTACTGTCAGTTTGATCCCATATAGATAGTTCTTAAAAGAACATAATGATCAAGGCAGACATTTTATTATTTCAACTGTGGTTTGGTTTTAAGAAGACTTCAGGGGGATATTTTTGGTTTACGTTTTAAAGATTATCTCAGGGCAATAGTTTCAGGGGTTCATCCAGTCCCCATGGCTTCAGAAAGTCTGAAGTCCATGAAAATTTGAGATTCTGTTATCCATTTTCCCCCTTTTGATCAGGACTCTTCTATGGAATCTTTGATCAAAAAGTTCAGTAATGGTAGCCCGGCACCATCCAATTCTTCTGGTCTAATGGCAAAGGAAGCAGTTGTTTATGGAGGCAATTAGCCATACATTCCGTATCCTCTTCCTATTCCTGACTCTCCTTCTTCCTCTGTTGCTCCAGGTGAAGAGATCAATTATTGTGGCTTGGATGACTGCTTGCAAGCTTTTATGACCCCAAGCACTACAACGAACTAAGAGGTAGAACAGAAGCACTAAACACGTTATTAGGCCAATTAACTGGGGTATCCAGTGAAAACATAACCCTAAACCTCCAAACCAAGGAATGAAATCCTATGAGGTTTTTGGTCGTACATAAGCAGTCTCAGCAGCTACTACTCTGTTTTTTGGGTCATTGTTATATATCCAACAATTTTTGCCAATTCAACATTTTACAGGTGTTCAACTTACTGACATCAATTTGCTATACTTTTAGCTGCCGCATTTGGATGTCTCATCCTCACACCTTGCCCCTTTAATCCCTCCCATTATTGTGTGTGCCTCCCTATCCCTGTGAGGGTCTCTAAAGTCTTTTCATCTTTGTCCTCTCCCCAGCACAGGGCTTTGCACTTAGTGAATGATACTTTGATATTTGTTAAATAAAAATGAGATGGAATATTACAAAGTGGATGTTTACCTTGAGGGGTGGGGGTGAGTAGCTTTCCTGTTTTCCGGTCAAAATCCATCCCTCTCTAAAAACAGAAACTTGCTCACTGAAGTGGAAACAACCAACTAGCCCTGCATCATACTGCATCCAATTCTTTTCCCATACCACCCTACAACAAAGGTATTTTCCCTACCAATTTTTCATTTTCTCAATTAATTTAATTTTCATATTGTACCTTAAAGTAGTGATTGGTAATTGAGACTTTTTTTTGGGGCAATTTAGTGAGTTCTTTCTAAGGTAAATGTTTCGGTATTTGAACGATAACATTACAGTATCAGTAATAAAAACAGCATAAAACTTAAAATATCCTGTCCTCCAGCTGGAAGATAGAGATGGGTAAATACTCAAGTTCTCAGGAAAGGATGAGGGTAAAAGACACGAGCCAGAAGCTGGGAGATGAAACTTGAGCAGCAGGCAGAAGCTCACATTAGGTTATCGCACAGATGCTGAGCCGCCACTCTAGTTCCTCAAAGCCAGTGCGGGCTCGTCAAGAACATGTAATATCAAAAGAACCTTATTTTTCTTGGGAAGTTGGTTTTTTTTTTTTTTTTTTAAATATTTTTATTAACTGCCTAAAACACCCTGTAATACTTTTTATCTTACAAGTTTGGCTGCAAACTCTGATTGCTTCTTCATATACTTATTGTATAATATTATTTTCTACAGAAAGAGAACAGAAAGCCTAATCGTTCCTCTAGCAGGGTTGATAGAATTTGCTTTGTATTATTGATAGCTTAGGAAAGTTTTTTCACCTTCACATCACATTTCAATATTGGAAAAGTTATATACATTTTTAGGATTGCTGTCAAATAATAATTTATTTAAAAAAAAAAATTCCCAAAACAAGGTATAGTCCATTCAGTAACAAAGACTCACAGGTGGCACGCACACTAAGAGGACACACACTGGCTTCTACTGGACTGACTAAAATCTGTGCCAGCAGAGGTAGCTGGCTGGGCTTTAGTGGAGCTCTTCAGAATCCAGGTTAAATAGCAATGCTATAAACATTTTTGCAAACTTGAATTTTAAAACAGACTTAATTTTTCATGATTTTCCCAAAGCCAGTCATGATATTTATTTAATTTATGGTCTTCAGGGTGTACCTGGAAGAAATACGACACATTAGGAGACAGAGGCCTTACGTAAGTTGGTCAGAAATACATTTTTTAAATTGGCTTTTTAAAGTTATGGTGGGGGACAGTACCTTATAATATACCTGAAAATGATAACCTTTAACCTAATGGGATTCATGAATGTTTAAAATTATGCCTTATACTAACATAATTCTTCACAGTTTACAAGGTACTTTCCAATTTAGTGCTGATCCTCTCACTGTGACCCAGGCCATGGGGTGGGGTGATGATGATAAGAGTCAAATATTAATACCCCATTTTCTGGAAGGAGGTTAGACCCCGAGAAGTTAAATGGATTGCTCAGGTCAAAATAAATGGTGGAGGAGGGACTGGCACACAGGCCTTCAAGCCTAGACTTGGCCAGACCTACTGGTGAAGGCTTTAGGGTGAGTCAGACTTAGAGAGCCATGGACCACGCCACCCAGCAGCACCCAGCAGCTGCCAGATCCCACCAGGATGCCTGTGGGCTGGGCATACTTAACAGAACAAGTAGCTGAAGTAGGACCCAGTTACCACAAACATAGTCTGAGAACCTGACAAGCACACATTCCAAGCCCCAAAATGCCTGCTTTCCTGTAGTGGTGACTTTTGAAGGCTAATATGACTGTGACAGGAGGAAAACCCTCCAGGGCTTAGAGATAGTATGTGAGTGGGAAAAGAAAGAGGGCCAGAAGTGACTGGAGGTCAGTCAAAACCACTGGGGTCAGTCAAAACAAATCAAGAGGATTTGCAAGTGTCTGTGGATCCTCTCTCTGCTGCCAATAACCCCATGCCACCCACTGCTCCTCAAGCTGGGAACAAAACTGGCTGCGACATGTCCAAGAAATAGTTTTCGCTATAACGATGGACTTATTTCGCCTCAGAAACAAAACATATTGGATATATTACGGCTGAGAGTGGGCCTCACCTGCTTCCATTCATTGATGCAAAAAATTCGGTAAGAGTCGTTGCCGTATTTACCAATCCCATGAAGCTCAATCGGATACTTCCACTGCTTTGTCAGATATTCATCTGAAGAATACAATACCCCACAAATCACGTCAGCCTCTAGAAAGATACCTTCCCTACACGTGTGATGATGTGGAACAGGGTAGAGAGAACAATAGAAAGGGACAGGAAAGAATCTTTCCCAACAGCCCCAGGGTGGTTGCTCTTCTGAACTCCTGCAGCACTCCTGTCTGAACTTCTCACCTGGTGCTTACTAACCATTATTTTGTGCTGTGCTAACTAGATGGAAGTAATGTCCTTTAGGTTAAGAACTGGGCTTTTGACTTCACTGACTTCTCTTCTTAATTCTGCCAACATGGCCTGACCCAGTGCTAGGCAAATACTTATTGCCTGGGTCAGTGGGAGGCTGCAGCTTGGGGCAAGTGGACTGTTTTTAAATGCCTTTGGTGCTTTAGCTAAATGACCTCTTAATGCAGCATCCAAGGACACTAAAGTTTATGGTGTGGCTCTCTTAAAAAAGCACAGTTGATGTTTTCTCTTTTGGGTATACAGGAAGGTACCTGAGAACTTGACAATGGTCTTTGCTCGAAGATCGTAGAGACCAAGAGGTTTAAGCAGTTCTGACACATCTCTCCAGTCTGCGGTTCTTGCCACCTCAGCTGAAGGGTACTTCTCCAGAAACTCCCAAAGCACAGGTATTGCCATTTTGCCTGGAAAATAAAAATAACTATGATTACAAGCCTCCAGAGGGGCTGATTTTAGGTTTAGGTACTTACTCATCTAGAAATCTCATATTGGTTTTTTTTTTTTTTTTTTACCACGGATAGAAGCTATTACTTAAACCAGCAACTACTTCAGAGTAAAAAACCAACACCACTAATGTGGCTAATAGTCCAAAATATGCTGAAAGCTGACCTTGCAAGATACTAGTTTTTAAAGAATTAGATCATCAGATAACCAATGTAAAAGCATATAGAACCCAAGGTATCAATGACATCAGAGAAAGCATTCAATGAGAAAGTACTTTTACACGCAGCAGAGGGTGAAAGAATGCTAAGTAACTGATTTTCACTGATGACCGAAACTAATTTAGAAGTAGAATATAAATGAGAAACCTGCCCCTTAATACTAAAAAGGCTCTTGGATGTTATCTAGTGTAACTTTCTCATTGTTAAAGAGTTTGGGGACCAAAACGGCACGCAGACTTTAAATTGAACTTGAACCAGGCCTCCTAATCAATTAATTGCTCTTTCTCCTTCATTACAGTCTCTACTAAGACAAAGATTAAAAGAATCCACAAACCTGAGGTCCGATTGAGAAATATAGTCGCGATGAGGAGTTTCCATGGATCATGAAAAAGTGTTTCCTGAACGAGATTAAAAGGTGACCGAGGAGGTGTCCACTTCTTAAAAGCTTTTCGTCTTGGGGGGCTAAGAGCTAAACAAACATACTGCATCAGAGCTGAATACCTGAAATGGATTTAACACCTGATTTCCTGATTGGGAAAGAAATACCTTCTTTGTTATATTTGCTGGAAAAATACAGGCTTGTTTTCCTTTTTTCTATTTGTGTTCGTGGAACAGGTGTGTCTTCTGAAAAGGAAGAGTGAATACGGTTTATAGACTATGAGTTAACCTAATTATATGCTAAATAATAATAACAATGATATCACTACTTACAAAGCATTTAGTATGTGCCAGGCACTTTAAGTTAACCCATTTAATTCTACTAATAACCTATGAGGTTGATATTATTTTATCTCCATGTTACAGATAAGGAAACTGAGGTACAGAAAAGTTACTTGCCCAAGGTCACACAGCTACTAAGTGTCAGAGCTGAAATTCAAATCTAGGCAGCCTGGCTCCTGAGGCCATGCCTTTACCACCACTGTTATACTAGTTCTCCATGATTTACGTTGTGTTCACAGTATTGAAAAACTGGAAATATTGATTATTTAAAATTATGACACAATTGTACAATGTGGTCATTAAAATATTTTGGAGACTATTATAAATATTCTCCCATGTCATTAACTTTTAACTAAAAAAGCAAAGTTCTACATACAGTAAGACCTGTGAAAGCTGGAGCCTAAGGTGGAAACATATCAGGGAAGGAAAATGCAAATATTTGCCACTAAAAGGAGCGATTGAAAAGTGGTTTAAAACTGTACTGCACCCTGGCAAAGGCAGAAAATTGGCAAGACCTGAAAAAACAAGGCAGTTTCGTCAAGTTCCAGCTCTCACAGGTTTCACTGTATAATCCAAATTTTATAAAAAAGAAGAAAAATATATAGCTACAGAGATTAGAATGAAATAATCCAAAATGGTATAATAGTTGTTGCTGAGCAGTGATTTTCATTTTCTTAATTTTCCAAAGTTTCTACAGGGAACACTTTCACACTTATCAAAAAACAGATGTAGACAAAACAGAACCTGCAGAAAAATCTAAGAGCCTCTGATTAGATTTGGACCCTGGAATACCTACAACTACTATCTATTGGGATACTCAATTAATTCAACAAAGACTATTTGACCAATGTTATCAGACTTCCCAAGTTTCTAAAAAATCATCAGTTAATACTCCTTTTAGTCATACCATCTAAATCTGAGCATCAGCTAATAATATATTTATGTAGCGTGATGTCATCTTTTCCAATTCTCATTTTACTTTATAATATTTTTGATGTGGCAAACAGAACTGAGTGCTGTCATTTCCACTTTACAGATAAAGAAACTAAGACTTAGAAATAAGCAACCATCTCAAAATGATACTAGGATTGACAACAGACTGGGACAAGAATGCAGGTCTCCAGATAATTAGTCTAGTTTTTTTTTTTTTTTTTTTTTGCTATTATAGTTTGAACAGGTAAAGTCCAGTGGAAAGTAAAAAACAGAATAAAGAAAATTGTTCTTACTTGCTGATAATTTTCTCTGTAGGTTTCTACAAATAATTACAAAGAAACCCTTTATTCCTAGGAGACCTAAGCTCAGTTTATTTGGCAATTTCTAGCTAAGCCAATGGGAAACTACTATTCCACTGAATACCTATTAACTTAAGGATATTTCATCTTATGATGAGAACTCAATTCCTTTATGTATAGGATGAATACGACACTTCCATTTTAGTTGCAAAAGGACTTTTTAATATTTAATTTGCCCATACTAGTGATAAATATATGTAAGCCTCAAAGCTTTAAGAAGCTCCAAGTCTTTAAAGGAGACTTAATTCTTATGCAGTTCCTAGATACGTATGGCCATCTTCTATAAAGGTAGAGAAATTCTGGGGGCAGAACAGACATAAAATCATGGGTGGGTTTGAGAGCAGGAATTAAGTTGTAACCCCCTGCTCTACCAATTTGAGCAGACTGTCTCCCCATAGGATTTTAATTACTATTCTTCTTTAAAGGAGTTATTCATTATATCATAATGGCATAAAGAATAACTAATATAGGTCTGCTCAAAAGGTCTCCTTATTCACTGAGGTATTATAAAAGCAAAACTGCTAAGCTCTCACCTCTGTATTAAGAGCATATTACAAATAATAGATGAACTATGTGATTACAGTTTTGAATTATTTAGAGCTCTAAAGCATTTTAGAGAAGCATTACATTATAATTGAAGATAAAAATGACAATGATATATGCAAAATTAAATTGGAAGTCACACATAAGCAGTAAGTAACAGGAGGGGTACGAAGAGAAGACACTGACCAGTCTATGTATAAAAGGGATCCTCCCTAAATCTTTTCAGAAGTTTAGTCTTTCAGTTTTCCTTAGGATTACTGGCTGGAAAGAGGATGGGAAGAAGGGAAATAACTGTTGAGAAGGAGCGTCCAAGATGCTGCCCCAGGGAGATGGTCACAGCTGTTTTGCTGGGGACATCAAGATTGAATCTAGCTGAATCCCTCTGCCATAGGAAAGGGCTTGAATCAGCTGGACAGCTCAGAGTTCAGTTAGACAAGATATCAAGATCGACTACTAGAATGTACGTGATACTTGGCCCCATTTCTTGGCTGTATTCACGCATCCTAACCATGTAAGGTATGACATACAAGATTCAGGGAATAAAGTCCTCATCATACAATGGTTAATAGCATTTTAAAGCACTGAATACCTTGAAATTTTTTCACAGAAGTAAAGTTTTTCTCGGCTTGTAAGCAGCTGTTGTCCATCTCAGAGCCACATTTTAAAACGTCAGTATGCAAATGTTTCTTCCTCTCTCCAACTTCTACTTCGGTTTTGATTTCCTCACAGTCTAAAAAGGTATTCTCACATTTCTTGTTGTGTTCTGCTTCTTTGGTCAAACACAATTTGTTTATGCTGCCAGAAGTTAGTTTTTCAAAATGAACATTTGATTCAGATTGCAATGATTTCTCTTTTACAAGTCTCTTTTCTTCATTGGTCACAACGAGGGTCTCGTCACTTGCTTTGACATCAGAAATATACAGAGTTCTACCAAGCTGACTCTCTTGTGCAACAGGCTCACCTTCAACATCTGCTTCACTACACACAGATTCTCTTTTTCTATTATTTTGAACAGAATCTGAAAGACTCTTCGAACACCGTTTTTTAGTTTTCTTAATTTGAATTCCTTTCAAAATAGTCATCTTTCCTTTCGACTTTCTAACCTTTCTGGAGTCAACAGCATTAACACCCTCATCTTCTTTCAAAGACAAATGAATGGCAGTAAGATTAGATAGTCCTCTGCCATCTTGCAATTCTGAACTACCATGTGGCATAGGAAACACATCGTTTTTTCGCCCCCTTCGTGTCCTGAGGTTCCAGTTTGAATTGTTACTTTCCTTTTGCACTTGGGACGTGAGAGGTGATATGCTACAATCTTTACATCTTGATTTGATATCCCTTTTACAAAGTACAGTAAAATCAAAATCTTCTGGCTTAAGAGAAGTTTCTCCATTTTTGTGAAGATAATTAGCAAGTGAACTTTTAGATCTGAACTTCAGTCCTTGAGGGCTAGAAAATAATAATATTAAAGGAAGCTTACTACTAGTAAACAGAAATAACTTTTAAAAAGAATTGAATTATATTTCAGATTTCTAATAATTTCCAAATGTTGACATGGATATTGCATTTGTCATTTAAAACAAACAATAGTGGTAAAATGGTACTTTTAAATCCATTTAAAAGTTTCTTCTATGGTAGTATAGTTTTATAAATATAACTTAAGCACGCTCACCCTCACAGTAGGAGGAACAAAATGCATGTACTTGTTCCCAAATCATTTGATATAACTAACCAGTGACACCAAAGATATAGAATTCACTACGGTTTTATAGTAAAAGAGAAATAAACCAAGATTCCTGCTATGCTATCCTACTACATGTCTAGAAAAAACATATTTGGCTGTGCTATCTTTACCACCTTGCACGCTCACCTGACAAAATATACATCAAATCTTCCTGCTGTTTTCCCAGATGACCTTTGCTTCACAACTCTTTTCCAACCACAGGGGACAGACTTATGGCATTCTGTCGCTGCAGTACCACCAAACTGAGAAGCAATGGGTTCTTCGAGCAGGGGATTACACTCACTGCTACTTTTTATCACCGTTTGTTTCTCATCTTCTCTTACTCTTTCTGATCCCAGAGCAACATCTTCCTCACTGAAAAACAATGTACAAGTAAAGCTCATTTAAAACTTATTTTCCACTGCTTATTCAATTTCAGTCTATGACGGCATGGGAAGCATATGGATTATTTAGATAAAATGTGGGATTAAAGTCAGTATGGACTAGTCCGGTGCCATGGAACAAGCTATCTTCAGATTTCTGTCTTCCAACATGGGTTAAAAAGAGTTGGAATTATCTGCACAATAAAAAGCTCAAGCTACTTGCTAGAAACTTTTTTTGGTTAATCACTGAATAAGACTTTTGGAAAGATTCCTGGTGATACCTGGCATAAGTTTAAGAATATGAACCAGCATCTGAGCTCTTAACCTGGGATCAAAAGAATCACTTAAAAGAGTCAGGGAGACACTCCCCTCTTCAAATAAGCGAAGTAAAAATTTGATATATGTGTGCAGTTTTCTGGAGGAGAGTGTCCATCACTTTCATCAGATGTTGTAACTCTCCAAAAGGTAAATCATTTCCGATACACAATTTTCATATCTTTTTCAATCTTGATCCTCATGATAACCTTGTGAGGTAGGGAGAATAAGGAATATTCTCATTTTATTAATAAAATTGAGTAACTGAAACGTTACTTGCAAAACTGACACCAGAACCTAGGTCTATCAAATCTTGGTTTAATACTTCTCCCTCTATACTATTACTGGAAAACTTCAGTAGGGTGTATCCTAATCACCAAATCATACATTTTTAAAGTTGGACAGATCTACAGAGACCATCTAGCCCGAATGCTTTTCTAAAAATAGGAGAAAAAAGCAAGAGCTAGTGACTAACTAGAATTAGAATCAAGGTAGTCTGACTGAATTTGGGGTGAGATCTGATGAAATTACATAGTTTACAATTTTAGAAATAAGGAAGCCACAACTTGGTGAAAACAGCACAAACGTTGAGGTCAACAGACTGGGCTCAAATTCCAGCTCTGCCATTTACTAGCTGTGTGTTCAAGAGCAAGTTAATCTATCAAAGCCTCGTTTCTACATCTGTAACAAATGAGGTAATATCTCATCTTCTTCACCCTTTGAAGATGAAAATTTGAAAAAAGTAGGTATCACACACACACGAGTGCTCAATAAATGACTGCGGTTCCCTTCCCATTACTTCTCATAGAGCCCATTTCTGGGGCGCCCTGGCTGTTTAACATGATAATACGAAATCTAGGTTCGGCTCTCCCAAGGTCTTCCTGAGATGCTCCAACCCAAGAAGATCTCTCTTTGCACCACAAAACCTCCCTGTTCCTCCCAGCTCCCTAGTCGTTTCAGGGAAGGCAGAGGGCTGACCCCACCGGAGGAGTACCTGCGGTCCAACCCTCGCTCCTAGGTATTAAATCTCTGGGCCTCGAAGTCTCTGTCCAATCTAGAATGTGAAGGTTAAAAATGCCGACACTTTCTACTCTCCCCTCCCATTTTACAGATGGTGAAACTGAGGCCCGAAAGGGGACAATGACTTGCCGGAGGTGACACGGCCGGTCCGGGTCTAGGCGCTCACTTGCGGCGACCGAGGGGTCAGCTCCGCAATCGCCCGTGCTCGGACCCTCCATCCCAGCCGTGCTTCTCGCGCAGGCTCCGGCTGCACCAACGGGAGCAGCTTTGCAGCCAGGAAGTCTCCAGGGGCTGGCCGAGAGCGGGACGGAGTAAGACGTGAAAGTTCCTTCAGTTCAGCATTCTAGGCTGAAACCAAAAACTGAAGGAACTAAAAGTCTGTCAGAAACCACAGCTCCTTTCCCGCCACCCCCGCCTCCAGTCGCAGCCGCCATTTTCTACGGCTCAGCCAATCAAATCTTTTGTTGAAGAAGACGTACCGCTCTCCTCCCGCCTCGGCCAATCGCGCGTATCCTCTTTGCGCATGCGTCTTCTAGGCTGCCTGTCCAGCTTCGTGTATGATCCTTTTCCAGCCTTTTCTTTTAGACATGCGCATTCGAGATCCTGTGCCTCGCGCCTAGCTCACCGCGCATGTGCGTTGCCAGGGCTAGCGCAGGTAGCGAAAGTGGCTCGCGGAGTGGGGCCTCTTGGCTTAGGCCGGGAGGAGGGGCCCGAGGCAAGAGGAGAGCCGCGATGAGGGCCGTGTTGACGTGGAGAGATAAAGCTGAGCAGTGGTGAGGAGAGGGGCAGTGTGGGAGGAGAGGGAGGCCGAGTCCCGGAGGGGATAGCGGGAGGCCTTGTGGGAATCACCGTGGTTGCCAAGGGCAACGGGCCTGCGGCCTGGGCTGAGGAGCATTGAATCCCGGATCTGGGAGAGTGCAAGGTCACCCCTCCTCTTTTTGCGGATGGATAAACTGAGGCTTGGAGACGGTGCAAAGGGGTGTGCCACGCGTGCGGTGCGTGCGGTAGTGGCTTGTTCAGGCAGTTTTACACATAATCACAATCTGGCCTTGTCCCTCCCTTACAGTCCATCGCAGACCCATCTTACGCCCACCACCGTGTTTCCCAAAACTTTTTCCCATATCCACGTGTTACCCATCTTGTTTACTTGACGTTTTTCTGTCTTTTGTTTTTTTTTAAATCGTCTTATTTTCGCTTAAATATGATTTTACAAGGAAATTTTCTTACTCCATATCTGAATGTAAGATAATTATAAAACTAAGAGCAGCGAGAAACAAAACAATGTTAATAAATTGTAACCAGATACTGTTGCTAGGGTACCTTAAGCCTGAGGTCCACTCTAAAACCAGAGATTTGCAAGTATTGTCAGTTGTTGGTTGCTGTCAAGTCGATTCTGGCTCATGGCGACTCCAAGTGTTACAGAGTAGAACTGCTCCATAGGGTTTTCAAGGCTGTGACCTTTCAGAAGCTGATCGCCAGGTCTGTCTTTTCAGGCGCCTCTGGATGTGTTCCAACTGCCAACCTTTCAACTCGTAGTTGAGTGCTTAACCGTTTGCACCACCCAAGGACTCTTAATATTGTGAGACAGGTGCCTTGATGAATAGCATTAAACCAAGACTTTCTCCTGTGCTTAATTAGAAGGTTTGGAAGAGAATTGAAGGAAAAGTACTTTCTCGCCATATGAGTCAATGCTATTCAGTTTGTTACCTAAATCCATCACACAACAGTATGTCTTGAGAAATACTGACTTTTTGGATAGTTCTCAGCCTGACTTTTCACAGTCTTTCTAGATGATCTTTTCAACTTCATCATGAAGCCTCTGTTTTGGCCACTGGGACAGGAGACTTGCCATTCCTGTCTTTGCTTGGGCTTTTCTCTGTGTAAAGGATGCCCTCTTTCCTCATCTCACACTGAAATCCTAATCATCCTTTCAGGCTTCCTTTGCTCCTTTTCCAGTGAGATGGGGGCTTTCTCTTTTTTACTCTGCACTAGTAATAGTTCACTCTATTTGCCAAGTGCTAGGCTAACGACTTCATATCCTTTATTTCATTGCCACCTCCCAATGGCCCTCTGAGGTAGGTACACTGATTGCCTCTATTTTACATATGAGGAGATTGAAGCACAGAGAGAATAAATAATTTACCAAGGTCACACAGTAAGTGGTGGAGCCAGCTTTCAGCTCAGGTCTCCTCACTCCAAAACCCGTGCTCTTAATCACTAATTTTTCCTGGTGTTATAGAGGTTGCAAACGCAAATGCCTGTAGGAGTCAGGCAGGTAACATACATGGGAGATATTTATTTGCATGTTAAATACAAAGAATGGTCTATTTTTCCTAGGACTGCTCTTCCATTTCTACATCCCACTTTTCTTGAAACACATAGCCCTGTCAGTGTATCTCTTTACTTTGTACTTTTAATAATGATTTGAGTAAAAAAACCTTTTTGACTTTTAAAACTCTGTTATGAAAGTATAAATGGCACAAGCTGATGATAACCAGCAACTGAACATTTGCCTTTGTTGTCAGAGAGTAACAGGGAGTGGCAAGCAGTGTGGCAAACTGGAGCGCTCATGCTCTGCCTGAAAGGGGTAGCTGCTGCTCAACTCCTGCCAAATGCTACCACACAGGAATTTGGCCTAGTGTGCCCAGATTTTCCTGTTTTCAGCAGAAGCTAGGACTCTGGATTTTCATGTGAAATGTCCTCATTTTTAAATGTTGGCACGTAATTTAAAAAAAACAACAAAATAAAACACAGGGCCAAACAAAACATTTGCTGGTCACATGCAGCCTGAATTGCTCCTGGTTTGCAACCCCCGGCACAGCGCTTTGTTCATTCCTCTTTGTGGCGCTTTGAGCCTCTCAAGTGTAATAGTTATTTGTGAATCTATCCATCCCAGGAGTCTATAAGCTCCTTAAAATAAACAATGGCTGTGTCTTATTTATTCTTAAATTATTCCAGCGCTTAGTCACATCAGTGGTTGTTGTTACTGTTTGACGGGTGGATGTATAAATGAATGAATAAGTGAGTGAATGAATGTTGAATGAGGATTGGTTATCTGTTTTTTGGCCCATCACCAGTATGAAACAACCTAATAGAGTAGAGGCTGCTGGGGTCCTATAGACCAGCAATCCTGATGGCAGCTAGATAGGTCAGCTGACAGCCCAGATTGAGACAAAACAAAACACTAAAAAAAAAAAAAAAAAAATAAAGACCAGAGCAGAAAAAAATGAAATAAAAAAAAAAAAAAAAAAAAAGACAATAGAACTCAAACATCCCATATGTCAAAGATTAGTTAGTCCTCCCCAACTGAATTAGCTGTTGTCTTGGTCCACTGTTTTGCCTCCCATCTAACCTCATACCATAGCAGGAATTCCCTTTTTCAAGCCCTACTGTGATCTTTCTACTCTGCTTCTCATAAACTTAGAGTGAATCCCACTTATCTTCCATTTCAGCTTGCACACTTCACTGTGTGGTCCTCTTTACCCTCTCCCCTCATGCTTGCTAACATTTAAATTTATGCTTTTTCAGTTCAGCCCAAAACTCCATTTGCCTACTCAGAGGACCTACCCAAATGCTTTCTGATTCTTCTCTGAACTCTTCCTTAAAAGCACTGCTCCAGGTTCATCTCAACCTTGATGCCTCATTAGACTAACCCACTTTATTCCAGTTATAGCATCTGCTCTAACTTTCATCCACAGTAGCTAGTATTTACTGAGTACTTGCTGTGGGCCAGACAGTGTTTACTTCCATTTATTTCTTGTATTCTCCACACCACCCCTGTGAGGTGGGAATTGTTATCCCATTTATAAATGAAGAAACTGAGACTTAAATTTGTCTAAGATTGCAAAGCAAATAAGTGGGGCTGGGTCAGATAGTGTGCAGGGTTTGCAGATGGACCTTGGGCTTTCAGTTTACAGTGGGGTGGGCACAGAGTTGGCAGAGGACAATTTGCAGGTTTCACCCTCTGTCTCTACAGAGGAAACTGATGATGTATCTTTTTAATAAAAACATGGGGCAGGTAGGGAGAGAGAGGCACCCCACAGTAGGACAGACTGCCTGCAGATCAGTGAGCTCCCCAGCAGCAGCTGGATGACTGTTATGGATTGAGCTGTGTTCCCCCAAAATATGTGTTGTAAACCCTAACCTCTGTGCCTGTGTTTTTAATCCCATTTGGGAATGGGTTGTCTTTGTTATGTTAATGAGACAGGATTAGTGTAGAGTGTATCTTCAGTCAATCTCTTTTGAGATATGAAAGAGATTGAATGTAAGCTAACTAGCAAAGATGGGGAAGACACATGCCAAGCCACATGAAGATCACCCAGGAGCAGAAGCTCAGAAGAGACAAGGACCTTCCTCCAGAGTCAACAGAGAGAAAGCCTTCCTCTAGAGCTGGCACCCTGAATTTGGACTTCTAGTCTCCTAAACTGTGAGAAAATAAATTTGTTTGTTAAAGGCACCCACTTATGGTATTTCTGTTATAGCAACATTCGATAACCAAGACAATGACCATGTGTAGGGAATTCCTGCCCTGATTGGGAAATTGGACTATGTGCCATCTAGGATCCTCTCCAATTCTGAGTTTCTGTGATCTCATATGTAATTAGAGTTGAAGGGGTTCAAGATAAAATCTTTTCAGTTTGTCATTATGTATCTAGGACAATGCTGTGCTCTGTGGGTCCACGAATATATAAAACATGGTTTCTTGCTCTCAAATTGCATGTGACTATAATTAAGGGGATAAGATAGTATATAAAACAATGTAAAACAGAGAAGACTCTGTAAGAGCTAAAGTCAGTCGTAAAGATTCTAAGTACAGTAAGAGTGTAGATGAGGGTAAATCAGACGTGTATGTTACACTTCAGGAAGGCAAATTTCAAGAAATTCAAAGGAAGTGAATTTTCATATCCAAGAGGAAGGTAGTTCAGGCTTGGCACAAATGAGACACTCAGAATTGGTTTTCTGATAATTCAACCCAAAGTGACCCTTATGACGAAGAGACCACACAGGAACCACTTTGATGAACCCAGATACGTACAAAACAGAAAGGGAGCCACACAGCCAAGAATGACTATAAAAGAGGAATAGCCCCCTCCAAAATCTAATATGCCCATCGTATCAACTCACAGGTGCTGGGCTTTGTAGAGGCAGCTGTGGCCATCATCTTCCATGCTTCCGCAGCCACCCTGTGAGGTAGGAGGGCAGCTATCTGTCTGCACTTTGTAGATGAGGACTGATGCTAAGATAGGAGGTCTGCTCTTCTGGCCCCAGGTCATGTCTGCTTTTCACTCTGCCACCTTGCTGCTCCTCAGAATGTGAACTGTGCCAAGGACATTGTCCCCCAGGCTCAAAGTCAGAAAGCCT